CCATGCCGCACTCAAATAAAGCATCAGGAGTTGCTATTAACAACCAAGACATGCACCTAGAAGGTGCTGCTGAGGCAGAAACAACATCAATGCTGCATAGGTAACTCTAGGGCTCATTATTTCCACAAATCCCTACAGTTAAGAAATTCAGTATACTCTTTCTTGCTTCCCCTATACCACCCTGCACCCCAAGCTTCATCACTAACACATCCTTCCCTAACCCAAGTCTCCTTGGACCCCAACAGAGAATTATTTACCTAGGTAGAAACTCTTACCTACCCTCCAACACCCCCTATTCTCTCATGTCTAAATCCCACTCTTTTCCTTATCAACCCTAACTCTTTCTTTCCTAGTCTTTCTACTCTGCCCAGTGAAACACGTTTTCTAATGCACATAAACTCATCCATCTCCACAGCTGTTTGCTTAGGAAGTACTCCTTTCATCTCCCTGATATACCAAAATCACATTACTCCTCCATCCCCCTTCCTTTCATCTCTCCCTGCTGTGCTCACCACCTGTCACCTCCAGATCAGCATCCCACTCTCATCTCCCAACGACCACCTTCCCGTGGGGGTCTGTACCATCCACCTACGCAGCCTTCTAACCATCCTCATCATGACTCTCCACCATGCTCCACAACACACACTCTCACCTTCCTTCAATGATTTTAGCAGCTGGCTCAGGCTTACCGTTTGATGAGGCAAATTTATCAAGACCATTTTTAAAAGGGCATATCAAACAAGCTGTATTAATATGGTTAGATTTTAGGCTGTATGAAAATATCTTTGGATAAAAATGGCCACATTAAAATGTCATTTGCCACAAAGGAACTTTCTGGGTAGATGGAAACGTTATAGACTATGATAAGGTATAATGCAGATGGGGTATATCCATTTGTCAAAACTGATAGCTAACATTTGTGCATTTCAGTGTATGTACATTACACCTAAAAAAAAAAACAGCTGTAAAATAAGAATAATGATAATCCACTGGGTAGAGATATATAGGCAAAACAAGAAAGACAGAATGCTCTTAACTGTTGATGGTGGTTGGGTACATGAGGTTTCATCATACTATCCTGTTCGTTCATGTTTGAAATTTTCTACAATCAAGTTTTTAAAATGTCACATACCCAGCTCCCACACACCTCATGCTCTGCCATCATATCCCTTTATGACTTCAACATCTGCAACCAAGCTTCTAACACTGCAATTTCAATATTTACCACAGGTTTTCCAACAGCCCAAGAAAAGCACTAATTCAGCCACCATGCTGGACATTCAAATACTCCATTCTGGGAGCACCCTTCTCCAAGAGCTAAGCTATACAACATTCTTACTGAGCACTAGCTTCCAATTTTTCTTGCTGATGCTGTGTCCCTGCTTTTCACTTTGTAGCCTCCATTCCTAGATCCTGCTTACCTAGTCTTGGTTGTGTACTGGGGACACGAATATTTACTAAGGGGCTCCTATAAATGCTTGTGAGAACAACAACAAAAAAAACAAAAGCAAATGGGGTAAACATACAAAATAGAGTTACCTCTGACCTTTATTCCTTACTACTAGCACATGTGTTAACTCTTACAATCTGGATTTCATCTTCACAACTCTTTAGAAACTCCTTGGTCCAAGATTATCAATGATCCCCTTGTCTTCAAATTCGATGCTTGTCATCTAAGTCCTTTATGCAGCGTTTTAAACTACTAGCCGACCTTTCTGTTTGACTTCTGTGCCACTGCACTCTTGATTTTTTTCCTCTGGATCCTCTTTCTGCTTCATCCTGGCCTCCTCTCCTTTCTTTTTTCTTTCCTTCTTTTTTTAAAAAAAATATTTATTTATTTATTTATTTATTTTTATTTTTGGCTGCTCTGGGTCTTAGTTGTGGCATGCGGGATCTTCGTTGTGGCATGCGGACTTCTCAGTTGCTGCATGCAAACTCTTAGTTGCAGCATGCATGCAGGATCTAGTTCCCTAACCAGGGATCACACCCAGCCTCCCTGCATTGGAAGCGTGGAGTCTTACCCACTGGACCATCAGGGAAGTCCCTAGCCTCCTCTCCTTTCCAAACAACAATGCTGTCCAACAGAACTTTCTGCAACTCTTGATATCTTCTATTTCTATGCTGTCCAATATGGTAGCCACGGGTACATGGAGCTACTGAACGTTTGAAATATGGCTAGTATAAATGAGAAACAAAACCTTTAATTTTATTTTATTTTAATAAATTTAAATAGCCATGTGTCCAGTGGCTACCCCACTAGACAATACAGCTCTATAATCTCTCTCACTTGTTCTCATGACTTCGGTTATCACCTCGACTGGCTCACAAATTTATGCTAATAAGCAAAGTCACCTGGGTGAGTTCCACAAGCAACTCAAACTACAAAATAAATCACCTCCACCGTCAACTCCTCCCTTACCTTACCCCAAACACCTTTCCTCTCCCAACATTCTTAGTTCTATAAACAGAATCCATCAACTAAGTCATCTGAGCTTGAACTCTTTATCCCCCATATCTAAGCAGGAATCTATTCCTTCTGAGTTTACTTAACTGATCTCCCTGCCTCTAGTCCAAAGTACATAATAAGCACAATTCCTGCCAGATATAATGCATTCAACTGGTTAACTTTGTTGTCTTGCCTTTTTCAAATATATAATGATTCTGCCACTGCCCACAAATGAAGTTTAAACGCCCTAGGATAACACAGCATTCAAGACTTTACACATGGGAATTCCCTGGCAGTCCAGGGGTTAGGACTCAGCCAAAAAAAAAAAAAAGGCTGTACACAATCTGGCCCCAAGCTACTTTTCCAGTCTTGCCTTCCACTTCTGCCTCTTAAGCCCCCTACTCTCCAGCCAAAAACGGATTCCTTATCATTCTCCAATACATTCTCTATCACAATGTTTGTCTGCATCCATACCTCTACTCATGCTCTTCCATCCTCCTTAAATACCCTTTTGACCTCTGTTCAAATCCTAACCATCCTTCAAGGTTCAGCTCAAATTCCGCCTCTTTCATGAGTTTCTCAGATCTTCACCATCCCCCACCAAATAGTAATCTCTTCTTTTCTGAGTTCTCACTGCACTTTTCAACAGCACAACATCTATGACAATAACCCATTTCTACTTTGTTAGAATTAGGTTATATTCATTTCTTATTGTATCACAAGCTCTTTAAAGATGGATGTCACGTATTAGATATCTTTCTATCCACCAATAATTCCTAGTAAAATAACCAGTATAAAGTAGGCACTTAGTAAATCATATCTGCTGATTACGATCATTTCATTTGCATTATAGACAAATTCTTATGTGCAAAGAATGTTCAGTATCTCAAAAATTGCTTAGGCACTAAATTATCCCTGTAATTTTATCAAAGGCAGACAAGTATTTTGGGTATACACAATTCCCCAAATTGCCTTAAGTAGGAGCTTCTACCTACTGAAAAAGAGCCTTCCTATTCTGGTCATGTACTATCAGTATAAAGAATAAAACTAGCACCGGTCTATTATGTCTCCTATGAGAATACAGAGACTTCTTATTTTAAATATAGCACTTTGTATCAACAGAGGAAACTGATATGTCAGGGGCTCATGGGATATAACTGATTCAAGTGACAGAAATAACAAATTATTCAAAGATAATAACAGCTACCATTTCTTGCACACTTATGAGTATGTCAGATACTATTCAAAGCACTTGACACGCATTATCTCATTTAACTTTTATGACACTCCATGAAATAGGGCCTGTTATTCTCATTTTATATATTTTTTAGAAATTAGGCATAAAAGGTAGATCACATATCTTTAAAAAATTGTCCATTAGTGTAACCAAATGTGTAGAAGATGCACACGTGGAAAAGCAATTATACAGAAGCCTTGGTCTAGGATCCCAAGATGGAGACCTGCTTTGGTTCACTAGATATAACCTCACTGAGCCTCAATGTTCCCACTGGTCCTTACCCCTCAGAGTAGTTGTAAGAATCAAATGAAATAATGAATATGAAAATGAGGAGTGAAAGAGCACTGGACCTGCAGTCAAAGGACCTAAGAATCTGACCTTTACTATATGTAAGACTTTGTACAAATAAATCCTACAGCTTCTTTGAGCTGCATCCATTCTTTTGACAACTGTGGAGCAGCCATGTAAGTACCAGACATTCTGCTAAGTGTTAGGAATCCCAAAGTGAACATGATAGATACAGTCTCCTGTCCTCACAGAACTCATAGCCTAGAGGGGGACACAGATGAGTAGAACAGACAGTTATACTTAAAGTAAGTTAAGGGGTTGGAGAGGGGAGTATGCAGGAGAGGCACCTAATCTAGATTTAAGGGTCAAGGGATAGTTCCCAAAAGGAAATGACTTCTACGGTGAGACTGGAAAGATGAATATTAGGCAAAGAAGAGTTCCAGGCAGAAGGAACAAGGTTCAAAGACCCATGCACGGAGGGTAAGTGTTAACAGTAGATTCCAGAGAGGTAAAGAGGATTTTACAAGCAAATATAAGAGAACTTTCCGTATAATTTCTTACAACTGCATGTGAATCTACAATTATCTCAATAAAAATTTCAATTTAGGGCTTCCCTGGTGGCACAGTGGTTGAGAGTCCGCCTGCCGATGCAGAGGACATGGGTTCGTGGCCCAGTCCGGGAAGATCCCAAATGCCGCAGAGCGGCTGGGCCCATGAGCCATGGCCGCTGAGCCTGCGCGTCCGGAGCCTGTGCTCCGCAACGGGAGAGGCCACAACAGTGAGAGGCCCGCGTACCGCAAAAAAAAAACAAAAACAAAAACAAAAATGTCAATTAAAAAAAAGCATATGTGAAAGTACTCTGTAAACTGAAAGGTACCTTAACTATTTCAGTATTATTACTAATATTCAACTGTATATTGCTACAGAGAGCAAAGTTAGAAAAGTCATTATAATGGAAATAGAACTACTAAGGACAGCTAGTGACCATATTTCAGTAGTTGGCCAAGATTTGGGAAACTGATTCAGTACCTTTCACATCTGGTCGATATTGTAGTCCATCATCTTTCTTTCCCAACAAACTAGTGTCATCTGCGTCTGTAAGAGAAAAGTTTTCAAATTAAGATACATATGATGTTTAAGTCACACCAGGAAACTCCTAAATATTCCAAATGCTCCAGGTCCTTCCCAACTCTCTCCACTTATCCTGCTCACATTTTCTACCATTCTCTTGATCTATTGTGCCACTTCTATCTCAGCCTCAAGGCATCCCAGATATAAACGCACTCTGCATGATGAAGTCTAACTTCACTCAGACTTCAGCTCAAATATCATCTCCTTAAAAAGTCTTCCCTGAAAAAAAAAAGTCTTCCCTGTGCTAACTGAAATAACACATACCCTGAAGAGAAAGGATTAGCCCTTTCTCCAAGGGACAATGGTCTCAAGATTTACCTTCTCCCACCAGTTTCCCTGGAAAAATATCAGACTAAGATAAACGTGGAACCTCAACTGTGTTATCAGACAAAATTTACTATAAAAATGACCACTGACTGATTAATTGTAGTAGGACAGAAAGACTGTACATGAACCATAAACACCTGTTGAGAAGCACAAGCTTCAGCTTCCCAGTACTAGCAGTGGGGGTGGCGGGGGGGTGGGGGGGTGGGGAGGAATACTCAGGTGTAAATGGGAACCAAGACAAAAATTAAGGACCAGCTACTCCAAACTCACTTCTAAATCGGCATGAGTTTCAATTAACAAAATCCTCAAATGACCAACTGTTCTGAATTTGAAATTCCAGACAGTACCGTTCAATCACGTACCAGTTCCTCAGAAAAGATATTCTCTCTCTAAGCTACTCTTTAACCTACCTACACTCTAAACGCCACCCCATGAAAGAAAAGCAAACCATACTACTTCTTCCACCTGTAAGGGGTCCCTATCAGCAGTCTCCTGTACCATGTGCACACCTGACCCCCACGTGGCAATCCTATGATGAGCTTCTTGGGCATTCTTCGGTAGCTTAGACCACAGATACTGCCATCAGTTGCTCAGTATTTCACAAATAGCTTGCTATCAGTATAAAGTAGCAAACTTTGGCTTGCAACTTTCTTCCCTTAGCTCAGATAAAAACATATCCCTTTAATAAGTCCAAAAAAGGGATGGGGCCTAGAGGGAGGGTGGGTTAGGCCTCGTAAGCAGGAAAGATGCACAAGCCTAGGCCATGAGAATGTGTGGGGCCCTTGTTTGTTACTAGGAAATGATATATTATTGCAGCCCATGTGTGTATTACTGAGGGAACAGGTTGAAAAACTGTGCCTTTAGTGACTGGATACTTCTAGTAGGAAAAGAAACCAAAATTCATTCTTAGTTGGTATCATGGCTTCTAAATGATGGCAAGAAGAGAAAAAGAATTTTAAACTGAAGGTAATAATTTTTCCTTATACTCTATAACTTCATGCCAAAATCTCTAACAGTATATAATATGTAGGAGCAAAAACTACAGAGAAAATGTGAAAACAAAGTAAACTATTATTCTCTAGAAAAAAAGATGAAAAAAAATATGGTTGGGACTTTCCTGGTGGGCCAGTAGTTAAGACCCTGTGCTGCCACTGCAAGGAGCACGGGTTTGATCCCTAGTCCAGGAACTAAGATCCCACATGACACGTGGCGCGGCCAAAGAAAAAAAATATGGTAATACTTATAGTTTTACTATAATTAAAATAAGCTAATTCTTAAACAACTAAAATCATTACAAATTTGAGACAACTTTCAAGAACTATAAATATATCTACAAGTCCATGTTAGGATCAGCTTAGTAACTAAATAAGTAAACCAAGACCATTGTTTGTATCTTGAGATAATGAAAGTAAGTGGGGGAAAAAAAGCTAAGTTAGTGACAGAACAAAGAAATTCTAAAATATATAGTAATAAAAAAATAAAGCATCAAAGATTTCTCATTTTCCAAATTTGGAACACTACCAAAATGTACAAATAAGACTGCAGAAATGTGATATTCAATATTAAAGACAGGTCTCTAGGTAAGTAGAATGAATTTTACCTGTGCAATGACCAAGATGCCTTATATCAATTTGTTCTTGTTTTATACAAGATGCTTCTCGAACAAAACAGGGATTGTTATAAGAACTCCCATCAGAAGCACACACAGGATTAAAACTGTATCCACTGCAATCTATATTACATACACACCTGTTGGAAAAAAACAAAAATTACCTATATTTTACAACGAAAGTGTTTCACAATGCTGTAACAGCAAAAATGAGCAATTATTTTTTTTTTTTACTTTTTAACTTTTTTATTGAGGTATAGTTGGTTTACAGTATTACATTAATTTAAGGTGTACAACACAGTGATTCAATATTTTTAGAGATTATTCTCCATTTAAAGTTATTATACAATATTGGCTATATTCCCGGTGCTGTACAATATAACCTTGTAGCTTATTTATCTTATACATAGTAGTTTGTAAGCAATTCTCTTTTTCTGCTTTCTGTAACAGAAGTCAATACATTGTTTTAAGTCACTGATAAAAGTTTAAGCAAAGTGACTGCTCAGCTAACAATTTCTTTCAGGTGAGAATTTAGAGATAATTTCATACAGATATTATTAATCCAGTGGTTTCTCTAAAATTTTCATATCTAAAGATAATAATCAAGAAATGTCAAATGTCAACAACATTAGTTAGAAAGCAACATGGTATAGCAGAAAGGACACAGAATTATAAGTCAAATGTCATGAATCGGTCTTCCTTGGTGGCGCAGTGGTTAAGAATCCACCTGCCAATGCAGGGGACATGGGTTCAAGCCCTGGTATCGGAAGATCCCACATGCCACGGAGCAACTAAGCCCGTGTGCCACAACTACTGAGCCTGCGTTCTAGAGCCCACGAGTCACAACTACTGAAGTCTGCGCACCTAGGGCCCGTGCTCCGCAACAAGAGAAGCCACTGCAATGAGAAGCCCGTGCACTGCAACCAAGAGTAGCCCCCGCTCTCCACAACTAGAGAAAGCCTGCACACAGCAACAAGGACACAATGCAGCCAAAAATAAAAATAAATAAAATAAATAAATTTATTTAAAAAGTCATGAATCTAAATCCTAGCCCAACTAATAACCAGATTTGTGTCCATATTCTCCTTCTAAGTCTTAGTTTACTGATCTGTAAAACAGAGGTAATAATATATGTAACCTTACCAAATAATTGGGAAGATTAAAAAACATAATAGATATAAAACATGTAAAATAGAAGACCCTCAAAATTGTTTCCTAGCTGCACATCCACCTGTAAAACTGAGTGTCCACTTAACACTGAGACTGCATTATAGAGAAGGCCAAGAAAGTCCAAGGTATCATCACTCCTCTCAAGGACAGTAAAATCTAACTGGGAATATAAAAATAAAAAACACAGAGACTCTCCTGCTTCCAGCAACATGGTGAACTCAGAACCTGTACTAATCCTCCTAATGAAAACAACAAAAAATACTGGACGAAATATTTCAAAACGTCCTCAAATGCATCCATAAGTTGTCAAGAAAGCAAGGAGGGCTTCCCTGGTGGCACAGTGGTTGAGAGTCCGCCTGCCAATGCAGGGGACACGGGTTCGTGCCCCAGTCCGGGAAGATCCCACGTGCCGCAGAGCAGCTGGGCCCGTGAGCCATGGCCGCTGAGCCTGCGCGTCCGGAGCCTGTGCTCCACAACGGGAGAGGCCACAACAGTGAGAGGCCCGTGTACAGCAAAAAAAAAAAAAAAAGAAAGCAAGGAATTTTAAGACAAAAGTTATATGAAGACAGGAATATAGAAAGGTCAGTTAAGTTTACTAAAGCTGATTTTCACCTTGAAGGCATTCACCAAACTAGGTAAATTCAATTATCAATTTTTTGGTTTTGTAGGCCTCTGAGAACAGAAGGTGAATAATACTGGCCTACCTAAGGTAGAGAGTCTAAAGACCCTAGAGAAAAGCATGAGGGTAGAGTATAAATGAGATGCCATATTCCAAGGGGACTGTTTTAAAGGAAAAAAATATTCTGCTGTGGTTTATACAGCATTGAAGAGAGGGGGAAAAAAACATCTCCCCAAGAATTCAAAAGTATAAGCCAGCCCTCACATGAGTAATTACAACTTAAAATACTACTTGGGTGTTCTGAAAAACCTCAAGTCCAGAATTTATTTTAAAAGTCAAAGACTGGAAGGGGCCCTAGACAACTGACAAAAGTAAATGCAATCCTCTCTGGAGAAACCCAACTTTATTATCCTAGACCTCAAACATTTCCAAGATACAGTTCTGAGCAAAACAAGTATATCACACACATGCTCACTCACTCCCATACCCACAAGAGACAAGGAAATAAAACACCATGGGCAGAGCAAGCTGATATGAAAAAGAAACAAAGAGAACTTCTAATAAATAAAGAATGCACTGTTAGAAATAAAAAATTCATGGGCAGATTTAACAGGAGATTAGATAAACTGAAGGTGAATCTGTGAACTGGAAGACAGGTCAGAGGAAACTACCCAGACCATGGCAGAGTCAAAGAGACAGAACATATGAAAAAAAAATTAAGAGACATGGAAGACAGAGTCACAAGAGCTAATAAAAATCTGACTGGAGTTCCAGATGAGTTAAAAGAATAAGGTGGGGGCAATATTCTCAGCAATTTCTCAAACTTTCTAAAACTAAAGAAAGATACTAATCTAAGTAACCAAGAAGCTTAATAAATTCTAAACAGGATTATTAAAAAGGGATCCAGACAGTGAAATATCACAGTGGAATTTCTGTAACAACAGCAACAAAATAATATTTTAAAAGCAGCCAGAAAGAAGAGAAAGATTATATTCAAAGAAGCAAGAAGAGAGACAGGTGTCTTCAAAAGCAATACTGAAGCCAAATTGTTTATTTATAGCCAAAAGACAGTGAAATAATACCTGCAATGTGCTGGGATAAAATAGAATTCTACGTAAAAAGATCTATCTTTCATGGTTGAGTGTAAAATAAAAATAATTTGGAAGAAGTAAAAATTTAGAGTTTGTCACCTGTCAACTGTCAATAAGGGAAATTATAAAGGCAGTAGAAAAATGATCCTACAAGTAAGATCTGAGATGCAAACATAAATGAAGAACAAAAGTGTAAATATATAGGTAATATTAACAAAATACTGACAATATAAAACAATGACAACAATGCTAGGTACTGCTAAATTTTTTTTAAAACAGTAAATTAAAATATTGATAGCATACAAATTGGGAGGGACTGAAATTACAGTATTTTAAGAAGAGCAAAGATATTGATGAATTTTAGACTGCGATAAGTTGAATAAGCATGTTAATGCTAAGGTTACCACCAAAAGGAGTATGTATAACACTGAAACTAATAGAGAAAAAAAAATTCAAAAGAATGCAAGAAAGGAGAAACAAACAGAAAGCAAGACAAAAGTAAAAAATAAGATTTTTTAAAAATCAAAGTACATCAGTATTTATTTTATATATATATCTTTTTTAATTCTTACCCTTTATTTATTTATTTTGGCCATGCCACAGGGCTTGTGGAATCTTAGTTCCCCAACCAGTGATTGAACCTGGGCCCAAGGCAGTGAAAGCGCCAAGTTCTAACCACTGGACCACCAGGGAATTCCCTATAATATATTTAAGTGAACTAAACTTTCTAGTTAAAATACAAAGATAGTTAGGCTGGATAAAAATACAAAAGCCAGCTATATGCTGCTTGTAAGGTACATATTCAACTGTAATGATATGGGTAGTTGCCAGGGGCTGGGGGAGGGGGGAATGGGGGGGTTACTGTTTAATAGATATAGTTTCAGTTTTACAAGATTAAAAGAGTTTTGGAGATGGATGGTGGTGATGATAGCACAACATTATGAATGTATTTAATACCACTGGACAGCACACTTAAAAATAGTTAAGATGGTTAATTTTATTATGTGTATTGTACCAAAATAAAAGAATTGTGAGAGATATATCATACCTGGAATGGAAGAAACCTAGTATGGCTATATATCTTGTCTATATATCTATATATATGTCAAACATAAGAGACTTCAGGGCAGAAAACATTTATGAGAAAGAAGATCCCTCAAAATAAAAACTTTTATTCACCAAGAAGATATAATAATTCTAAATATTTTTAAACAGCCTCAAAATCTATAAAGCAAAAACTGATAAAATCACAATGAGAAACAGCCAAATCTACCATAGTAGATTTGAACGTGCATCTCTCTGTAACTCATATATCAAGCAGATAAAATATCAGTAAAACTGAAATAACTAGAGATGAAAGGACATAATGCTGGGATTTTCTTTAAAATACTTCCCCCAAAAAAGGTGGAGGGAGGGCTTCCCTGGTGGCGCAGTGGTTGAGAGTCCGCCTGCTGATGCAGGGAACATGGGTTTGTACCCCGGTCCAGGAGGATCCCAAATGCCCGTGAGCCATGGCCGCTGAGCCTGCGCGTCCGGAGCCTGTGCTCCGCAACGGGAGAGGCCACAACAGTGAGAGGCCCGCGTACCACCAAAAAAAAAAAGGTGGAGGGAAAAAGAGATAAAACAAAATTGGATTTTTTACACTAACTGAAACTGAGTGATGGGTATATGAGGAGGGGTCCACTTTATTTTTTTCTCCTCTTCTACATGTTTGAAGATTTCGTTAATTCCTGGTGAATTAAAGACCTAAATGTGAAAGGCAAAACTACAAAAGACTTAGAAGATCAAACATAAGAGACCAATAAATTTAACTTTGAAATAAAGAACACCTCACAAAGAGAATAAAAACGACAATCTGCAAACAAACAAAAAGACTACAGCCCATGTAACCAGCAAATAATCAGTATCCAGAATACATATAAAAATTAATTTAGGGCTTCCCTGGTGGCATGGTGGTTGAGAGTCCGCCTGCCGATGCAGAGGACACGGGTTCGTGCCCCGGTCCGGGAAGATCCCACATGCCGCAGAGCGGCTGGGCCCATGAGCCATGGCCACTGAGCCTGCGCGTCTGGAGCCTGTGCTCCGCAACGGGAGAGCCCACAACAGTGAGAGGCCCACTTACCGCAAAAAAAATTAATTAATTTAAAAAATGACATAGAACTTGGAAGCATATAAAAACAATATATGTAAAAACGTGTTCAATCTGCTCAATAATCAAAAAAATGTAAATTTAAACCACAATGAGATACCATCACATTCA